CCCCTCCTCACTCTAGAAATCCATCCCTCCTCTACCCTCCCATTCAGTTCTGCCTACGTTCGCAAGTGGACTAAGTTCGCAATGGTCAGTGTGTGTATGCTCACGATGAGGTGCCACTGGTCACGCYACTACATCAATCGGGAATTGGAGCACACTCACGAGATTTCGGTGGTACTAGCTCAGTTGTGGCCGAACGAGTCTGCTACCGACGGAACATTGGTGGGATTGTTGTGTGGAGAGATCGCCAAGGGAGGACGAGCCACGGTCGCCTACGAACTCCTTGCCTTTTTGTCACAGCTCGTCGACGATTTACCGACGGACATCATCTCCTACAATCCGAGTGATCCGAAGCAGGCAGGGCCTGAAACGCTGGAAAGAAAGTTGACGCCAACCGTAATTTGGGCAAACTGTACGGAAGATTACGGGCAGTATCTGAGCGACCACGATCCGAAGGCCTGGTGTTATTTGGACCTGGACGAGCTCGCACCCGACAATTCCGACTTCGACGAATTTTGGCAAGCACATCGAGAGAACGGAGAGTTGCCATCAAACGACGATCCAGGTCGCATAGCCATCGCCGGACTGTCGGGGGAAGAAGAGCCAGAAGCCCAGTCGACTTCCAAGGAGGAAGGAGAGGCATCAGCGCCTGAACCCCGGGAAGCTTCGCAGGCACCGCCACTCGCTCAAGGAGGATCGGTCCTGAATCCCGTTGTCCCCTCGGACGCTATTAGCCGGCACGATGGTGTGCCAGCCTCCTGAAGGCGCCGCTGCCCTCGCTCACCTTCTCCGGCCTCTTCCGCCCCCTCCGAGCTTCGTTCCCGTCCTCCTCCCAACCCGGACGTACCGTCCTCGTCCCGTCTGCCGCCGCCCCCTTGACTTTCTCCGCTTCCAACCTCTCCCCCACCTCGAATTCCCCCTGGACTATCGCGTTTTTGAGAGCGGCTTCTTCTGCCATCACTTCGTCGCTCGCCTCCTTTGCACGGTCTTCCCCATCAATCCCCCTCCTTCCCTCTCAATATCCTTCTCTTTAGTGTCACCTGGATGCAGTCCAACCACATGGAGTTGTACTGCGTCATTTCCAGCACCTTTCCTGCTACAGAGGACTACGAGTCCCTAAGAGACAACGACCTCCTAACTATTCCCTCCCTATACCCTGATTACCTCCTTTCCCTCTCTCGACCCAATCATCGTTTCCCCCACGCACGTCGGATCGTACATTTTGTCGATCTCGGTGATGAAGTGGAGGATTATTTCCCTCCACTCTTGCCTGAATGGCCCCGACCACTCCATCGTCCCCTCCTTGTCGACTATTGTCGGGCGGATTTTTCGTAGCAAAGCAAGGGTGCAGAGCACACGGAGAATCCGCGGACGATGATGGCGTCACCTGGACGACCTTCGGCGGTTCCAGCAGCTTGAGCCAGCAGACTCACGAAGAAATTGCAATTGAAGTTGGCGTCAATATAAACTCTGGCTCGGTTACCTGCTTGATACGAAGCATCCTCCCTCCGGATACGCTTGGTTCCTCATGCATCCTCTCATCCCTCTCTTTCCTTCTTCGCCATGACATGCATCAGGAGATCGCACAATTTTGGAACCCCCTGCGCGTCTTATATGTGACGAACTAGCTTCCGGACTTGCGCCATCTTCCGGACCCCTTCCTTTTTCCGTGTTTTCTCTGCATCTAGATGTGTACAGTTCGACTCCGAACCCCCCCCC